TCCATCCATCCATCCATCCATCCATCCATCCATCCATCCATCCATCCATCCATCCATCCATCCATCCATCCATCCATCCATCCATCCATCCATCCATCCATCCATCCATCCATCCATCCATCCATCCATCCATCCACCAGCGCTTCTTCGTGGCTTGCATGGACATGGCTGTGGATTGAAGCCCAGGGGAGAATGCCAACCAGGTATGGTTGGCCCCACAACCCATGTGCGAATGACCAAGTTCCCTTAATGAGCCGATATTTTCTGCCCCTACCCCCTCCTTCCCCTACATCTGGTGGTGGAGCTGAACGTGAGGATGGAAGGGGAGGGAAAAACCCCCACAACCCATGTGCGATGGCGCCCCACTCTCGGACTCCTCCCACCCACCCCTCTCTCTCTTCCTATCATCAGGTGGCGGAGCTGAATGTGAGGATGGAAGGGGCAGGCCCGCACAACCCTCATGCGAATGCCTTCTATGCAGAGGAGAGGGTGCTTCGGACAGAAGGCGAAGGGATGAGAGACGTGGATCCCATGTCTGCCAGGCACTGGTTGGTGAGTGGGTGACTGAGCAATTGGGGGCGTATAGAGAGAGAGGGCATTTGGACTGCTGTCTATGCGGTGCTTCGGACAGAGGGCATGAGAGGCGTGGATCCCATGTCTGCCAGGCACTGGCTGGTGAGTGAATGAGGGAGTAAGTGTGAGAGTGAGAGAGGGCGTTTTCCTTTATTCGCCTGCGATAGGAGAGGGTTGTGCGGACAGAGGGCGAGGGCATGCGGGATGTGGACCCCATGTCTGCCAGGCACTGGCTGGTGAGTGGGAGGGCATTCGTCTGAAAGCACTGAATAAGGAGTGTGCTCCATTTTGTTACATGGTACATTCATAACACCACTTACTTCTGTTGTCCATTTCTCGGTTTGCCTGTTTCTTTGGGCCCTATCTTTCTTGGTGCAGATCCAAAACACTCGGGCAGTCAACCGGGCAGGTCGTCCAACAGCCTACAAGCTCGTGCCAGGGTCCAACTGCCTGCCCTTCTCGCAGCCCGAGGCGAAATTTCTCCGCCGGGCAGCTTTCCTGAAGCACAACCTGTGGGTCACGCCGTACCACCCGGAGGAACGGTTTCCGGGCGGCGAGTTCCCGAACCAGAACCCCAGGATCGGCGATGGGCTGTCCTTGTGGGTGCAGCAGAACAGATCGATCGACAATGCTGATGTGGTGCTCTGGTAAGTGATGCCTCGGTATGTGGTGCCTTAATATGTGGCAAGCCTGCTTTTGTTATAAAGCTGACGTGGTGCATGGAAGCCAGTCCTTCTCTTATTTTCCTTGTGCCGTGCATCGTCCACTGTGACCAAATCAGCTTTTAGTTTTCACTACTTTTTATATGTTTCCCTCGTCCCCTTCCATTGCATTCTCAACATTGCATTGCATTCCCATCCCACCTGTTGTGTGCAGGTACGTGTTTGGCCTCACTCACGTCCCACGGCTGGAGGATTGGCCCGTCATGCCCTGTGAATACCTCGGTTTCTGCCTCATGGTGAGTCGGTGCTTGTTTTTTTTTTTTATGCCTGGGAGGTATGTTGAGTGGACTCAAACATGTTCCATGGCTAGAGAATTGGCTGGTGTTACCCTGTGAATACCTCGGCTTCTGCCTCATGGTGAGTCAGAGGTTGATTTGAGGGGCCTCATAGGAACAAGTCTAGCCTTACACACATCCCTCCCCTCCACGGCTGGAAGATTGGCCCGTCATGCCGTGTGAATACCTCGGCTTCTGCCTCATGGTGAGTCAATGCTATAGTCATATTGAGTGTCATGTGAATGTATTAGCTTTATTCTGTGGTAACCTGCGGTAACATGTATGCACCATCACCAGTGCATGCATGTTGCACTGGTTATGGTGCAAAAGAGTTTTTGGTATGGAGTCGATTCCATTCTTTTTACCTCGTTACAACCTTGGTGTGTTTCATTCACCACTGAACTGCATATATTTACTGATTCCTGGAACATGTACGCCAATGTTGGCCAAATTATTTGGTTTACAATATCTTCTATTGTTTGTAACACTGAATTCACCCTCATGGTTTGTTTGTGTTTGTGCGTGCAGCCACATGGTTTCTTCAACATATCTCCTGCAGTTGATGTTCCTCCTAGTGAACCTGAAAATGCCGCCGAAACAGGCACTGTTTCTACACCTAGCGCTAGCAAAGATGGGAACTGCTGTAGTGAGACGAATCTGCCAAGCCTCGCGTCAAAACTCTAGAAATGTGGCGGCATTCTCGTGGATGGTGTATCTATTGTTTATTATTATTCTAGTTTGAGCATCCCTTAGTTTTAGTATCGTGCTTTACAAACGCAACAAAAATTGGTACCATAAGATGATATTAGAGCGCTGTTGTATCGGATCCGGCTGGCTATTTTGTCGACTCCCTCGCCATGTCAGGCGGGAATTTCAATTTTCAGTATGCCAGCAGCTCCAGGTTCTAGTCTGGTCACTGCCTTATCCTCTAAGGAGCAACTTAGTGGTATGCCACGTGCCTTCTTCCCGTAGCAGATTCCCTCAATCTCTAGCGACCTGCGTGGTATGGTTTCTGTTGGTACGGAATTATTCATTCAAGTACAGTTGCGTTCGTCTGGTCACGCATTTCTCGGAGATAGTTCTCTTCACTCTCCAGAAACTCTCCAAGCGCCTCCAATCCGCTTCGCGCTCCGAGATTAGGTTTTGCCCACTTTCATCATTCGAAGCACCTGTTAGGAGAAAGGACGATAGCTAAGTTGAAAGGGATTCAAATGAAGAAAACCCGATAGTGTCGATTAACTAAGGACGCGAAGGCAATCAAGTTGCGGAGAGAGGGCGGGTAAAGGGAGTGGCGAGGCGGCATGGTCCGAAGGCAGATAGCGCGCAGTGGAAACGAGCAGGGGGCTAGTAATGGCCTGCGACCCGTGGGTGACGCTAGCGGGGGTACGCGTGACACTAGCGCGGGGGGTATCCGTGACACTAACGGGGGTGCGGAGAGGGAGCAGCGGGAAGCGGTTGCAGAGAGGGCGCGTGATCCGGAAAAGAGACCCCCAGCGGAGGCTGTGGCAGGAAGATTCCAACCGGCAGGCCGTGAGGGCGTTGCTGCGTCACAAAGCCCTGACTCTGACAGACGTTCCGATAACTCTCAAAATATTTTCGAGAAATCTACAAAGTCTTTCACGGGGACTGCAGAGGAGGCTATGGCGGGGGTTCTCCAACCAGCAGGCTTGGAGGCCGTTGATACGTCCCGAAGCCTGGAAAGACGTTCTGATATCCGTTTGGCGAAAGAATCGCGTCAGCAAGGCTCTCTGGCGGGCGAGGGGCAGCACCCAGTAGTTCCGGAGGGCGAATCTGAAGCCCGTCTATCAAAGGAGTCGCGTCAGCAAGCGGCTTCAGCTGGCGAGGCTTTTTGTGAGGCACCTCAATCACGGCCAGTAGACTCAGAGGGCCAATCTGAGCCCCGTTTGGTGAAGGAGAAGGAATCGTGTCAGCAAGGTCCTTTGGTCGGCGAGTCTTCTCAAGAGCAAGTGTTCTCTTCCGACTGCTGCGAGGCAGGAGGCTGTCAGGGACTCTCCATACGGGAGCAGTACGAAAGGGAGTTTGGTGGTTACCTGCGTGGTTACAGGTTCGCCCATCCTGCTGCTGCGGCTGGTGCTGTTGATGCTGGTGCTGGTGGTTCGGGTGTTCCTGCTAGAGCTGATGCAGCTGGTGGTGCTACAGCGGGTGCGACAGCCGGTGCTACAGCTGGGGGGTTGAGTGTGGAGGAGTTCAGGGCTTTGGAATGCCCTCAGCTGAAAGGTGGGTGTGGGAACAATGAATGGTCGCTACAGCCCGTGCTACAGCCGGTGCTACAACAGGCGGTTTGAGTGTGGAGGAGTTCAGGGCTTTGGAATGCCCCTCAACTAAAAGGTGAGCGTGAAAACTACGGACGGTCAATGCTATAGATATAACCGTTTCTTTTGTTGCTGAAAGGTGGTACCACAGCTGGTGCTACAGCCAGTGGTGCTACAACGGCTGGGGGATTGAGTGTGGAGGAGTTTAGGGCTTTGGAGTGCCCCCAGCTGAAAGGTGAGTGTGAAAACGAAAGGTGAGCTTGCCCTCAGCTGCTGCTACAGCCGGTGGTGCTACAGCCGGTGGTGCCATAGCCGGTGGTTTGAGTGTGGAGGAGTTTAGGGCTTTGGAGTGCCCCCAGCTGAAAGGTGAGCGTGAAAACAGTGATCGGTCAATTTACATGTTAGTAATGCAATCTTATCTTGCGTTTCTGAAAGGTGGTGCTACGGCCAGTGCTAGCAACAGCAGCAGTTTACGCTCGCAGGTCGCAGCAGCCGCAGCAGCTCTCCCTCTCTTGTCTTCCCCCAACTATCTTGACCCTGTGTCTATCTTGACCATGCAGCAGCAGCAGTATACACACGCTCGCAGGTCACAGCAGCAACAGCATCTCTCACTCTCTCTCTTTCCTCTTTTCCTCGCTCCACCTTCCCCACACCACACCTCAGGCTGTGTCTATCTGGCTGGACCATGCAGCAGCAGCAGCAGCAGCAGTATACACTCGCTCGCAGGTCGCAGCAGCCACCAGAGCCCTCACTCTCTCTGGCCTTTTCCTCGCTCCATCTTCCCACCACCATATTGCAGGCTGCGTCTACCTCGACCATGCAGCAGCAGCAGTATACAGGCGCTCGCAGGTCGTAGCAGCAACAAGAGCCTTCATTCACTTGTCTTTCTCCCTTGTTTCCTCCCATCCTATGTTGCTAAATACGAGTACCGAGTATAATACGTTAGCGTATTATACGCTTGGTATATACGCGGTACGCCAAGGCTGGCGTACTGCTGATACGCAAAAATACGCTGGCGGGCAGCTAAAACTTTTTTTCCCGGGCAGGTATAAAAAAACCTGTTTCAGGGGGGGGGTTCAGGCCGACAACAATACATGTAAATATTTTATTTCATAAATATCCAGAAATACATAGTTCATCTACATAATCCCCACCCTCTAGCGAGCTTCCCCACAGCCTATTTCCTTGCGGGGCTTTTCCACCACCACCCCTTCCCCATACTCATCCGCCAGCACTGCATCATCTCCTTCCCCCCCCAGCAGGTCATCCTCCTCCTCCTCGTCCATGTTGTAGCCGCGGGGGATAGGGGCATCCGGGATGTTCCCGGGCACAACCGTGCTGGCCCCATCCTTGTTGTACCAATTGCGCACAACGTTCCAGTTGTGCGCAATGTAAACCAGGTCCGCACACTTGGCGGACCCGAGGCGGTTGCGGCGGGCGGTGTGGACGCCTTCCCACTGCGCCCAGCCACGTTCGCATGAAGAAGCCGAGACGGGCTGAGTGAGAATCCGGCATGCGAGGGTGGCAAGCTCAGGGTACTCGGTGCTGTGCCACGACCACCACTGCACCATGCTCATCTCCCCTTTCTTCACTGCCTCCCTTGCAGCTATGGCGCTCAGCTTGCCAAAACTGCCCTCCAAGTTGATGTAGGCCAGCAATGCCTCCTGCAGCACAAGGGAGGCGCGGCGAGGGGCACCATCCTTGCCGCGCCTGAAGGTGACGTGGTCATAGTGGCGCTCGATGTAGTCCTTGAACACCCTCGTGCACTCCACATCGTTCCTAAAAATTCCCTCCTCCTGGTTGGCCGGATTCAGGATCCGGCCAACCACATGCATGGGGCAGGCAAGGGAGTTGTCCCACCTGTCCTTCACAATCTTGGTGATTTCTGCCCTCTCTGTCCGAGTCAAGAAGTCGCCTGAAGCGTCGAGCTTGTCATTGATGTCCTCGGTAAGCTGTAGCATAATGTCATACAGCTTACCCATCATGCCTTTCGCAGAAGAGTCCGTGGCCCGCATGGCCTTGAATGGCACCGCCATGAGAGAGGAAAAGAACTCCGCCACCCCCCACCACTCCTCATCCATCACAGCAGCCCTGAATTTCTCGGCTGCAGTCTTCCTATCCTTGTCCCCCGCTGCCCACACCTTCCACTCGTCGCTGAGCACCATCGCCGCCAGCCCACTCCTCACCTCACATAGCCGGGCCATGGCTATGTATTGTGTCCCGAACCTGGTTCCCGCAGGCTTGAGCACCTGCTTCCCCCCCACTTTCTTCATATAGGCACGGGTGAAGTGGTGGTTGCGCACGAAGGTAATCATCTCCCCTCCTTTCTCCACAAGCCCCTTCGCCCATCCCATTTTGCCCACATCTTCCATTAACAGGTCCAGGACATGCGTGGCACATGGCACATGCTCAATGTGCGGCCATGTGCCCGCAATCTTCCGCGCTGCCGATGCATAGTTGCTGCCGCCATCGGTGCAGACCGCCACCACATTCTCCGGCCCCACCTTATCAATGACGGGGCGGAGAAGGCTGGCGATGTACCCCCCCGTCTTCGACTCCATGTTACAGTCCACGGCCTGCTCGAAAACTGCGCCGGAGTCGTTGACAAGGAGTATATTGGCCCGCGGGCGGCCACAACGGTCGGTCATCATGTCCGACGACACGGTGACACCGTCCCGCTTCCAGCTCGCGGCAACGGGGGCGAGCGCTGCCTCCATTTTCTGCCGCACTTTCTTCAAGCCCGCCCCTCCAACGTAGCCCCTCTTGGGGGGAACATACCTCGGTCCCGCGCGCGCAAAGCATTGGACCGCGTAGCGGAAGACCGGATCATCCACGATGCGCTCTGGAAGCTTCAGCACCGAGATCATTAGGCAAAGCGCGTTATCCGCGTCCTCCTTGGCGCACGTTGCCTCGTCGCCGAAGAATTCTGTTATCTTCCCCTTCTTCTCCGCACAAGCAGTGACCGCGCCCAGCACGGAGTCGAGTGCTGCAGCAGCCGCCCCTCGTTTCATGCTCTTGTTTTCCTCCTTGTTTTCGTACATGGCACGCACTTCTTCACGGACTTTCGGGGACACGTCCTTGCAAAGCCTGACAGGGCGTCCATCTTGCCCTTTCCATTTGGCGAGGTGAACTGCGCAGCGAGTGGTTCCGCCCTCAAACTTGAAGCCACAAAACTTACAAAGCTTGGGATTGCCTTTGGTGTGGGGGGGAATAAGAAAATGTTTCAGAATGGGGTTCGAAAGGCCAGCCTCAACAGGCTGCGTGTTGATCGCACTACTAGACGCGTGACCAGAAGCTACATTGCTCGTCGCGCTAGGAGGAGTGGAGTTCGACGCCATGGGGCGCGACTAAGGAACGGTAAACTGCTTGAGGAAAACGGGAGATCAGAGCTCGGGAATGAAATTGAGGAGGAGAGAAACGAATGAAGGATAGGAAGGCGTCAACGAGTAAATGCTCACATGACGTGCTGGACATTTGAGAGGGGTGGTTGGATATGAGAGGTTTGGTGGGGTGGTGTGTGGTTGGGGTGGTGGGAGGTTTGGATTCTGAAATTTGAATTTCAGACGTGGGTTGGGCGATGTGCTTGGTCGCGTAACCATTCGCGAAGCCCTAATAACCGTCGCAAACTTTTTTCAATTTCGATTTTTTTTTTCGCCGGGCTGCCCGCGCGTTTTTTCACGAATTCGAAGCGTATTAGCGTACCACGTACGTACGCAATCGTATATACGTGGTACGCCACCCTACCCAGAGCGTATTTGGCAACGTAGCTCCCATCCTTCAACTCACCTCAGGCTGCGTCTATCTCGACCATGCAGCAGCAGCAGTGTAAACACTCTCGCAGGTCACAGCAGCAAGCAATAAGAGCCCTCACTCACTTGTCTTTCTCCCATGTATCTCGCCATGCACCACATCCCAGGCTGCGTGCACCAGAGCCCTCACTCACTTGTCTTTCTCTCATGTATCTCGCCGTGCACCACATCCCAGGCTGGGTGTACCTCGATCATGCAGCAGCGGTGTACACACGCTCGCAGATTGCAGGCAGCCACCAGAGCCCTCACTCTCTTTGGCCCCTTTTCCACGCTCCACCTTCTCACCACCATATTGCAGGCTGTGTGTATCGCGACCATGCAGCAGCAGGGGTGTACACACGCTGGCAGGTTGCAGCAGCTACCAGAGCCTTCAATCTCTCCATCATCCTTTCTTCCCCCCTCTCCTCATGCACCACATCAGGCTGCGTGTATCTTGACCATGCAGCAGCAGCAGTGTACACTCGCTCGCAGGTCACAACAATCACGAGAACCCTCACCAAACTGTCTGATTTCTTCCGTCACTCCCATCCACCATCGCACCTCAGCCTGCGTCTACCTCGACCATGCAGCAGCAGCAGTTTACACGCGCTCGCAGGTCGCAGCAGCACATCAGCCCTCATTCCCTCCCTCATCTGTTCCCCCCCCTCTTCCCCAATGCACCGCATGTCAGGCTGTGTGTATCTGGACCATGTGGCAGCTGTTTACACTCGCGCGCATGTCGCAGCACTAGCAACAGCTCTCCTCTAACTCTAAACCTCTTCTCTCCCGCCCTCCTTCCCCTCCCTACAACATCTCAGGCTGTGTGTATCTGGACCATGCAGCAGCAGCAGTATACACTCGCTCGCAGGTTGCAGCAGCTACCAGAGCCCTCACTCGTTCCCTCTTTTCCAACCCTCGTGAGCACTCTCCTCCCATAAACACATTCCTCGCTTTCTCACTTTCCTCGTTCTCTCACTCTCCTCGCTCTCTCACTTCCCTCCCTCACACATTGCAGTGATTGCATAGGGAAAATTATTCTCAGCTCCCTCCCTCCCTCTCATCCAATCCTGTCTAATGATTTCCCATTCTTGTACGTGGCTCCTCCTGCTTGCGACAGTGCATTTATTGGCCGAATTTTCCTCCCCACCTTCCCCCCCCCTTTCTTCTTCAGTGTCTGCACGTTAATCATTCCTTCCCACTCTATTCCCTCTGTTCCTTTTTTTCTCGTTACAGACAGCGCCAGTAGCAGCAGTGCGGCCACGTCTGACGCGATCGAATCACTTCGCATGCAGGTAGGCAGGCTTTGAAATGGAAGCAGGTAATCACTTGACTTACACCTTGAAATGTCATTGTTTTGCCGACTCAAAAATCGACTCAAAATCTTGAGTCAACTCAAAAATCATGCAGATAGGCAGTCTAGTCTGTCAGCTGTCAGCTGACTTACACTCTCTAACCAGGATCAGCTTCATATCCATTAACCTCATACATCTCCATTTATCATCCCAAGGCGACTTGTGAGTGGTTAACTCTCGAATCAATGTTGGCGTCGACTGAAAAGAAATGCCGAGCAGGTTGACTTGACGTACACCCATTCATGTCCATAAGCCTCGTACAATTCTATCTAGCACCCCAAGGTGACTTTTGGGTGGACATTTGAGTTGACTTAAAAAGAAATGCCAAGCAGGTTGACGTACACACACCCATTCATATCCATAAGCCTTGTATCCTCCCATTCTATCACCCATTCTCCATCTATCTCCGCTGCTGCCCTTCAGGTCCTTGCCATGTGCAATGCCCCTCCCCGCTACGACTGTGCTGTGCCTTCACCAGTGTTGCCACGTCCTGCAAACTCTCATGGACACTCCTTTGTATTTGTACTAATTTGTGTTCCACTCTCCAACTCTCGATTCATCACCCCACCCCTTCCCTTCAGGTGCTAGCCATGTGCAATGCACCTCCCTCCCAGTACGCTTGCGTCTTTACCAGTGGTGCCACGTCAGCACTCAAAACGGTCGGCGAGGCATTCAGATGGACGGCGGACAGCGAGCTGGCAATGACGCTGGACAACCACAACTCGGTGCTGGGGATCAGAGAGTAAGATAGTCTCACGTAGTGAGTAATGAAGAGGAAACCCAGCTGGGTCAGTCAGTGTGGTGTGGTGTTTAGATGGGCGGCAGGCACTGGGCTGGCAATGACGCTGGACAACCACAACTTGGTGCTGGGGATCAGAGAGTAAGAGGAGTGGGAAAGTGGGAGGGGACAGTGCTGTGGGGTCAAAGGGTGGATGGAGGGGCGTTCACATGGGCAGCAGGGAGGCAGCGAGCTGGCAATGACTCTGGACAACCACAACTCGGTTCTGGGCATCAGAGAGTAAGTGCTGGGTGTAGGAGGGGAAGGCGTTGGTGATTTGGAGGGACAGTGCTGTGGGGTCAAAGGGTGGATGGAGGGGTGTTCAGATGGGTGGCAGGCAGTGAGCTGGCGATGACGTTAGACAACCACAACTCGGTGCTGGGGATGAGAGAGTAAGGCTTGGGGGGAATAGGAGGGACAGTGCTGTCGGGCCAAAGGGTGGATGGAGGGGTGTTCAGATGGGTGGCAGGCAGTGAGCTGGCGATGACGTTAGACAACCACAACTCGGTGCTGGGGATGAGAGAGTAAGGCTTGGGGGGAATAGGAGGGACAGTGCTGTGGGGTCAAAGGGTGGATGGAGGGGTGTTCAGATGGGTGGCAGGCAGTGAGCTGGCGATGACGTTAGACAACCACAACTCGGTGCTGGGGATGAGAGAGTAAGGCTTGGGGGGAATAGGAGGGACAGTGCTGTCGGGCCAAAGGGTGGATGGAGGGGTGTTCCGATGGGTGGCAGGCAGTGAGCTGGCGATGACGTTAGACAACCACAACTCGGTGCTGGGGATGAGAGAGTTGAGTAAGGATTGGAAGGGGTGGGAGCGGAGAGTGTTTTGGGTTTAGAGGGAGGGATGGAGGGGCAGACAAGCAGCTGGCGATGACGCTGGCTGGACGACCGCAAATCGGTGCTGCGGATCAGAGAGTAATGACTGGGGAGAGTATGATGGCAGGGTGGTTGGAGGGTTGAGAGGGAAGAGGAAGGAGATGGGCGGCTGGCAGCGAGCTGGCAATGACGGTGGACAACCACAACTCGGTTTTGGGAATGAGAGAGTAAGGGGTTTTTTTTTTCGGTTGAGGATGTAGTGAGTAATGAAGAGGAAAGCTAGCTGGGTCTGGTCAGGGTGACTTCCTGATATGTGGGCGGCTGGCAGCGAGCTGGCAATGACGGTGGACAACCACAACTCGGTGCTGGGGATCAGAGAGTAAGGAAGAAAGAGGGAAAGTGTTTCTGGGAGAGGGAGATGGATGAAGAGGAGGGGATGTTTTGATCAGGTGGGTGGCAGACAGCCGGCTCGCAATGACGTTGGACAACCACAACTCGGTGCTGGGGATCAGAGAGTAAGAATAGTTCTTTTGAGACGTCTCAAAAGGAAGAATAGTTCGAATTCTATGCACTCACAGATACACCGAGTTTTGTGTTGTTGTTTGTTTGTTTTCCTTTTAGGGGGGTTGGTTGGGTTGCCATAAGATGGCTTACAACAATGCTGTTAGTGTGGCGCGATAATAATGATGTGTTGTGTCGTGTTGCTGTGTGCAGGTATGCTCTTAGAGCTGGTGCTACAGTGTCTGTTGTTGATATTCGCTATGAGGATGACTATATGGGGGATGAGGAGGAAGAGGAGGAGGAAGAAGGGGGCGATGAGGATGAGAGTGAGAGTGGGAGTGAGGCTGGGAGTGAATATGAGAGTGGAAATGAGAGTGAGAGTGAGAATGGGAGTGAGAATGGGAGTGAGAATGGAAATGACAAACAGGAGAGGAGAGTGGAGAAGGTGGGAGTGGATGAAGTGAGGATAATGAAGGAGGAATTTAAGGAAGAAGAGGGAGGAGAGGATGAAGAAGAGGAGGAGGAAGAAGGAGCAGAGGAGGATGAAGAAGAAGAAGCAGAGGAGGAAGAAGAAGCAGAGGAGGAGGTGGAAGAGGAGGAAGAGGAGGAAGAGGATAAAGATGAGGAGGAAGAGGATGAAGAGGATAGGAGGGCGGGTGTGAGGTTGGGTAGTGGGAGGAAGGTCCGATTTGCTTTGCGTGGGAGGAGGAGCAAACGTAAGGGGGCGGAGGAGGAGGAGGAAGAGGTGGAAGAGGAGGAAGAGGAGGAGGAGGAGGAGGAGGAGGAGGAGGAGGAGGAGGAGGAGGAGGAGGAGGAGGAGGAGGAGGAGGAGGAGGAGGAGGAGGAGGAGGAGGAGGAGGAGGAGGAGGAGGAGGAGGAGGAGGAGGAGGAGGAGGAGGAGGAGGAGGAGGAGGAGGAGGAGGAGGAGGAGGAGGAGGAGGAGGAGGAGGAGGAGAAGGAGGAGGAGGAGGAGGAGGAGGATGAGGAGGAGGAGGAAGAGGAGCAGGAGGAGGATGAGGAGGAGGAAGAATCAGAAGCAGAAGATGAAGAAGAGGGGAAAGTAGGAGTGAGGGTAGGTGGAAGAAAGAAGGTTCGAGTGGTCTTACATGGGAGCAGCAGGAGTAAGCGCAAGGGAGCAACAGAAGAGGAAGAGGAAGAGGAGGAGGAAGAAGAGGAGGAAGAGGAAGAAGAAGAGGAGGAAGAAGAGGAAGAGGAAGAAGAGGATGAGGGAGAGGAGGATGAGGGAGAGGAGGAAAGGATGGGCGTGAGGTTAGGTGGCAAGAAGAAGGTTCGAGTGGTCTTACCTGGGAACAGCAGGAGTAAGCGCAAGGGAGCAACAGAGGAGGAAGAGGAAGAGGAGGACGAAGAAGCGGAGGAGGATGAGGAGGAGAACGAAGAAGAGGAAGAGGAGGGAACGGTGGGAGTGTTGGTGAGAAGGAGGAAGGTTCGATTGGCGTTAGCTGGCAGCAGCAGGAGCAAGCGCAGTGATGTGGTGGGAAAGGAAGCTGAAGCAGTCTCTGCCGGTGGTTGTACTGGTAATGTGCGGCAACCCCTAAGTGCTGCAGATGTCAATTTGAATGCACGGACTGGTGGAGCAGTGGGGCCAGCAGCAGCGATTGTGAGTGGGAGGGACGGTGAACCTGTAGGGGCAGCAGCGAGTGTGAGGACAGGTGAACCTGTGGGGACAGCAGCAGATGTGAATGCGAATGCAGGGACAAGTGAACCTGTGGGGGGAGCAGCAGCGAGTGTGAGTGTGAGGACTCCTGAACCTGTGGGGGCAGCAGCGCTTGCTGAAACCAACCCTTCTGATTCCACTGTTCTTGCCGAACCAGTGCTGACCGAACCACAGAATGGCAGGGCTGTTTCCGAGCCTGGACAGGAGGTTCGGCCAGGTGTGGCTGCTCCAGCTGTGGCTGGGGATGGTGGGGCCGGAGCTAGTGGGAGTGGGGCGGGTGAGACTGGGGCAGGTGGGACTGGGGCAGGTGGGACTGGGGCAGGTGGGACTGGCTTAGGAGGAAGAAGTGAGGAGAAGGGCCACGAGGGAAAAAGGGGTGGAGAGGCAGGATCAGGGTCAAGGGATGTGAGAACAGAGCATGAGAGGCCTTCTGAGTCGTCTCAACTGTCAAGGGATACAAGGGCAAGGGGCATGAAACAGCATCGAGCGGCGGATCGGAAGGGTAGAAGGGTGGATGGAATGGTGGATGGTTGTCCAAAGGGCACAGTCCTTCGAGGGGTGGTAGAGGGGGTGTCCCTTCGCCTGCTGAACCGATTCTCTCGGGCAGCAAGGGAAGGGAAGGCAAGGGAACACAAGGCACTAAAAGCGCCAACGGCACGACGGGAAGAAGCTGTTTCAAAGCCGCCTGAAGAGGTGTTTTCAGGGGCAGGGAAGGAGGAGGAGCGGCAGCAGCAGCGGCGAAGGCAGAAGCAGGAGGGGCAGGAGGAGTTGCCGTTTGTCCCATGCCTGTTTGCAATGCCTGCAGAAAGTAATCTTAGCGGCGAGAAGCTTGATCTGAGGGTGGTGCGGGCGGTGAAGGAGGAGAGGTGTTTGGATGGGTGGGAGGGGTGGAGCCGGGAGGACAGAGGAGTGGAGAGCGGTGATGGTAGGAGACGAGGCAGGGGGAGAGGGAAAAGGAGAAGTGAGAAGGGAATCGAGGAGGAAAGAGAGCAAGGGAGAGAGAAGGGAGGGGATGGCACAACAACTGCTGGTGCCTCTCAAACTCAACAACTACAACAACAACAGCAGCAGCAGCAGCAGCAGCAGCAGTTGCCTGCACGCAAGAGAGCATGGGGCGGCCTCTGGGGTTGGCTGGGAGGAAGTCGTGGGACATCCGGTGCAGCAGATGAGGATCAAGGGCAGGTCGATAGCAATGGTGCGGCGACTGGTGGTGGAGCTGACAGGGGTGCTGATGGTGGGAAGGCCCAGGGTACAGGTGCTGTACGCACGGAGAGCAGTGGCAGGTTGACAAGTGGCCACGAAGCTGATAGGGAGGGTGGTGGTGGGGATGGGAGTGGTAGAAGTCGTACTGGTCGTGGTGGTGATGGTGCATGCAGTGGTGAAAGTGCTTCTTCTTCTCCCGCTCTTCCTCGGCGCTGGTTCGTGCTTCTCGATGCTGCCAAAGCTGCTGCTTCGGACCCTCCAGACCTCTCGCTCTGCCCTGCTGACTTTGTTGCTCTTTCCTTCTACAAGGTGAGATATCCTTATCCCGCTTTCGACCCCTCTCCTTCTCCACCGCTTCTGCCCGGCGCTGGTTCGTGCTTCTCAATGCCGCCAAAGCTGCTGCTGATGAGAGTAGTAGGAGTCCTAGTGGCAGTGGTGGTGGTGGTGTATCCAGTAGTGAAGGCGCTTCTTCTCCCGCTCTTCCTCGGCGCTGGTTCGTGCTTCTTGATGCTCCCAAAGCTGCTCCCTCGGACCCTCCGGACCTATGCCACTGCCCCGCTGACTTCGTTGCACTCTCCTTCTACAAGGTGGGTTGCCCCCTCCTCCCCATGCCCCCTCCTCCCCATGCCCCCTCCTCCCCATGCCCCCTCCTCCCCATGCCCCCTCCTCCCCATGCCCCCTCCTCCCCATGCCCCCTCCTCCCCATGCCCCCTCCTCCCCATGCCCCCTCCTCCCCATGCCCCCTCCTCCCCATGCCCCCTCCTCCCCATGCCCCCTCCTCCCCATGCCCCCTCCTCCCCATGCCCCCTCCTCCCCATGCCCCCTCCTCCCCATGCCCCCTCCTCCCCATGCCCCCTCCTCCCCATGCCCCGTCCTCTGAATCCTCTCCATGCCTCCCGCCCTCCGGACCTCTCCCACTGCCCCCTGCGGACTTCGTTGCACTCTCCTTCTACAAGGTGGGTAGGCTGTCTCTACCCCTCTTCATTTCTCTCCACCCCTCTCCACCTTTCCACACCACCCACTGCCCTGCTAACTTTGTCACACTCTCCTTCTACAAGGTGGGTGGCAGCCTCCTGACTTCTCCGTTTTTCCTTTTCTCCATACTCCCTCCTATCCCCTCATCATTCTGTCATTGTGATTCTCTGCTAACTTCTCTTCTCTCTGCCTCATTACCTGACTAGCGCTTCCTTACAGCTCCTCACTCCAAGTGGTAACCATCTCTCGCCTTCACCCTTGTTGTCCCGCTATAAGCAGATCTTTGGATTTCCTACAGGGCTTGGGGCGCTTATCATCCGGCGAGGTATGTATGTCCTCTTCCTTTCATATGCTTCATTCTTCTTACACGCTTCTTCTCAGATGCTTCTCACTTCCCTTCCCGTATGCTTCTTGCTTCTCATATGCTTCTTCCCAGGTGCTTCTTTCTATGCCTCATCTCATCTTCCCGCAACCCTTGATCCCATCTTTCAACTAACTGCCTTTCTCTCATCCTCATCCCTTGTCTCCCTCCTCTTCCGACTTTCTGTGCATATCTCTTTCTTCTCACTCCCAGATGCTGCCTTCATCCTCCACAAGCCCTACTTCAGTGGAGGTACGGCGAGTAGCATGTGCTCGGTGGCATGTGAATGACACGGTGACAGTGGTAGCAGAGGTGACAGGGCTAGTAGCAAGTAGCATGATGACTCTGCATGGCAACTTGTGCCCCTCTCATTCAGATGCTGCCTTCATCCTCCACAAGCCCTACTTCAGTGGAGGTACGGCGAGTAGCATGCGCTCGGTGGCATGTGAATGACACGGTGACAGTGGTAGCAGAGGTGACAGGGCTAGTAGCAAGTAGCATGATGACTCTGCATGGCAACTTGTGCCCCTCTCATTCAGATGCTGCCTTCATCCTCCACAAGCCCTACTTCAGTGGAGGTACGGCGAGTAGCGTGCGCTCGTTAACAGTCATGTGATAGTTGTCATCACTAGAAGCACGTAGGGAGTACTTCACAGTGCACACTCCCTTTCCTCCACATCCCTTCTTTCGGCACAACCTTTTGTCTCTCCTTCCCTCCGTCCCTCCCCTTCCCCTTTACAAGCAACGTGTTTGCAGACTCTGACTTTGTCTCTCTGCGCTCATCACTCGAAGCACAGTGGGAGGACGGCACCCAGCCTTTCCTCCACCTCTCCCCTTCGACACATCCTTTCTCCAGCACTCTCACCCCTCTTCCCCCCCCTCCCCCCTCACAGGCACCGTGGCAGCTGTGTTTGCAGACTCCGACTTTGTCTCTCTGCGCCCATCGCTAGAAGCACAGTGGGAGGACGGCACCCAGCCTTTCCTCCACCTCTCCCCTTCGACACATCCTTTCTCCAGCACTCTCACCCCTCTTCCCCCCCCTCCCCCCTCACAGGCACCGTGGCAGCAGTGTTTGCAGACTCCGACTTTGTCTCTCTGCGCCCATCGCTAGAAGCACAGTGGGAGCACGGCACTCTCCCCTTCCTCCAGCTCGCAGCAGAGCTCCCTCCAGGCTTAGCCCTGGTCACCCGCCTCTCCTTCTCTGCCATACAACGGTGAGCCCCGATCATTCAATGGAGAGCCGTGATCACCCAGTTGATGCCTCCTGGTGGGAAAACTGTGTTACCCGCCTGTTTTCCTGGAAGCACAGTGGGAGGACGGCACTCTGCCCTTGGTCTCGCAGCAGCAGAGCTCCCTCCGGGCCTCGCCCTGGTCTCCCGCCTCTCCTTCTCTGCCATCCACGGTGAGCATCGCGCCCCTCCCCTCCTGGTGTTTGTTGCGAGTCTGTATTTTCGAGTCAGAGTAGGTGGGAGCACAGCACTCTCCTCTCCCTTTCCTCCAGCTAGCAGCAGAGCCCCTTCCGGGCCTCGCGCTGGTCTCACGCTTCTCCTTCTCTGCCATTCAGCGGTGAGCCCTTACCATTCCTCCAGCTCGCGGCAGAGCTCCCTCCAGGCCTTGCTCTGGTCTCCTGTCTCCCCTTCTCCACCATCCAACGGTGAGTCCTTATCACCCAGTCTATGCCTCCTGTTCTTGGTGTTTGTTTGCTACCAGCCTGTACTCTTGGAAGCACAGTGGGAGCACGGCACTCTCCCCTTCCTCCACCTCGCAGCAGAGCTCCCTCCGGGCCTCGCCCTGGTCTATCACCTCTCCTCACAGCTGAGCAGAGCGAATTGGTTTGCTTATGGGCGATGGCGCGCAGGGGGGTCTCGGACAGATGAGGGCTCGCACAGGTGAGGACAGGTGAGGGCTCGCACAGGTGAGGACAGGTGAGGGACGGCTGGGATCTTAGCCACCCCATGGGCAGCCACGTCTCCTCTTCACTCTTCACCGCCTCTTGCTGCTGCTGCTGCAGAGTCTTGAGGCGTCTCAACACTTGCTTTCCCCTCCATTTCTGTTGCCTCCTCAACCCCTACAGCCACGTCTCGTTTCTTGCACTCTTCACCGCTTCTCGCCTCCTCTCCCTCCGACACTGCAACGGCCAGCCCGTTTGCGTCGTGTATGGAAGGCACAGGGCCTTGTTGCTGCATCTTGAAAAGAGCAGAGTCGTGAATCGGGAGAGGCGAGAGACTTCTGATTCGATTGAGAAGAATGGAGTGGTGGATTTGCAGGGAGGAGAGGAGGAACGAGAGGCAGTGTTGAAGCAGCAGGGGGGGGTGGTGGCGTTTAACCTGAAGCGCAGTGATGGGTCGTGGGTGGGGCACAAGGAGGTGGAGAAGCTGGCAGCCATCCACAGCATTCATCTCCGGGTATGTATGCTCTTGACCTCTAAAGTCGGATTCAACCTGAGGCACAGCATGGGTGGTGGATGGGACACGAGGAGATGGAGAAGCTAGCTGGCATCCCCAACATTCAACTCCTAGTAACAAGAAGTAGCAGCAAATGCATGCATATCCACAGCAGTTGACAGATCTTAGTCGCAGCGATGGGTGGTGGGTGGGGCATAAGGAGGTTGAGAAGCTAGCGGCCATCCATCTCCGAATGAAGTGCGCCCGATTGCTGGGATAACACTAAATAACCCGGTTGCTTTTGCCATCAATTCTTATCCTCCCCTCTTCTCCCATATATCATACCGGTTGCTTTTGCAAACCGTGCGCCTGTGCAAAGCACCTTCACTTGTCTCATCCCCACCCCCTCCGAAACTACGAGGCGGGGCACGTGTGGTGGGATGACAACGATGTGATTGCTCCACTCCAACCCTCCCTTTCACACCCACCTCCCCCCCTATCTACCAGACTGGTTGTTTCTGTAACCCGGGTGCCTGCGCCAAACACCTCCACTTGTCTCATCCCCACCCCCTCCGAAGCTACGAGACGGGGCACGTGTGCTGGGATGACAACTGTTGTGCAGCAAGTATTTCCCAGTGCGTAGTTTCTCACCTTTGGTCTTAGAGGTCGTGGGTTCATCTCTTCAGCAGCTGCACTTTCCATTCTCATTATGCTCACCATTACATGTCTACACTCCACGACACTCACCCATGCTCGGTACTTGAGTGGTGGAGTGTGGACATGTGATGGTGAGCAAATGAGAATGGAAAGTGCAGCTGCTGAGAGTTGAACCCACGACCTCTAAGACCAAAGGTGAGAAACTACCAACTGTGACATATTTGCTGCTCAACACCCAACAACGATGTGATTGCTCCACTCCAACCCACCCTTTCACACCCACCTCCCCCCTTATCTACCAGACTGGTTGTTTCTGCAACCCTGGTGCCTGTGCCAAGCACCTGCGCCTCTCCCACTCCCAACTCCTCGAGAATTACGAGGCAGGGCACGTGTGTTGGGACGACAACGACGTGATTGCCGGGCGGCCGACTGGCGCCGTGATTTTTCCGATCAGTCCCTTTCTCCCCTCTCCCACATGCGACAGACCGGTTGTTTCTGCAACACAGGAGACTGTGCCAAGCACCTGCGCCTCTCCCACTCCCACCTCCGCCAAAATTACGGAGGCGAGGCATGTGTGTTGGGATGACAACGACGTGATTGGCTACTGCAATCCCATCACCATTCTTCCTCTTTTTCTTGTTCCCCCATGCACCAGACTGGTTGCTTCTGCAACCCAGGAGCCTGTGCCAAGCACCTGCGCTTGTCTCATGCCCAACTCCTCGAAAACTACGAGGCGGGGCACGTGTGCTGGGATGACAATGACGTGATTGCCGGGCGGCCGACTGGCGCCGTGCGGATCTCCTTTGGACACCTGTCAACCATTGATGACGTGGAGGTGAGCTGGGCAGAGTTGAGTGCCTGTTTCTTCAGCTATATCTCGTTTGGACACCTGTCAACTTTTGCCGCCGATGCGGAGCTCGTTTGGATTAAGTTGAGTGCCTGTTTGTCCATCAAATTTCCTTTCAACAATACTTCTGTCGAAAGTTTCCTGTCCACTGCTATTCACCTCTTTCTTTTTCTTTTTCCATTTTTTCAGATTTTTTTTTTTATATATTTGATAAAAGATCGTTGTCATCTGAAATATTTTTTTTTTTTCCTGGCCTTGTTGCATCCTCCTCTTCTGCCCGATGCAAACCCGAAACCCCACTGTCTGCCCCAACACAAAACCCCCCTCGCCCACCCGCACCTGTTGTCCAAATGCTGCAGGCCTTCCTCTCCTTAATCCAGACATGCTTTGTGGAGCTTTGAGACGTCTCAAATTGTTGAGGTGTCTCAAATTCCCAACGCAAACCTCTCACACGCACCCATTGTCCAAATGCTGCAGGCGTTCCTCTCCTTCATCCAAACGTGCTTTGTGGAGCTGCCACGTCAGCACACTCCACCTCAGCACGCCACCTCTGCTGCCTCTGCTGCTTCTGCCGCTACCGCTGCCACCGCTGCCGTTTCCTCTTCTGTGTCTGCTTCTACAGCCGCTACAGCCGCTGTTGCTGCTACAGCCGCTACAGCCGCTGTTGCTGCTACTGCCGCTACAGCCGTTGTTGCTACTGTTGCTGCTGCCGAGAAGAAGCTGGATATAGGGCGTTTCACTAATGGAATAGCAAGCCATTTGGAGAATCGGGAGGAGCTTGCACAAGCAGATGTGGCTAAGGAGAATCTTTCGCGAGCACGTGCGCCTGCACAAAGTGTGACTATAGAGGGGCTGTTTGTGTATCCGATCAAGTCGTGTGCTCCCATGCGAGCGCAAGCATGGCCGCCTGGGCCCACTGGTGAGTCCGCCTTCAGAGCTTAGAAATAGTGCTTTGCTGCTTAGATGTGCCTGCACGGAGTGTGACTGTAGAGGGGCTGTTTGTGTATCCGATCAAGTCCTGTGCTCCCATGCGAGTCGAAGCATGGCCTCTTGGACCCATGGGTGAGTCCCTGATATTTTAAGGTATAGAGCGGTATAGTGTGGTTAGGGGTAATAGTTTGCTGTATAGCATGCATTGAGTTGTGTGTCCTGTGATCCCTTGCGAGTGGAAGCATGGCCACTTCGTTGGATCCACTGGTAATTCCCATGCCATTCCATGCCATGCCATGCCATGCCACCCATGCCATCCCATGCCATCCCATGCCATCCCATGCCACCCATGCCATGCCACCCTCCCATGCCACCCTCCTATACCACCCTCCCATGCCACCCTCCCATGCCACCCTCCCATACCATCAGGTCTGCTGCATGACCGGGAATGGCTTATCATCAACCCTATAGGCACTCCACTGAGGCCCAACAGGGTGAGCACTGAGCAGCCAACACTGCCAGCAGTAGCACTCACTCTCTTTATTGCCTCCACATCCCACCCTTATGCACCTTACTGCACCTCCCGGAATGGTTTATCATCAATCCCATGGGCGCTCCACTGAGGCCCAACAGGGTGAGCACTGAGCAGCCAACACTGCCAGCAGTAGCATCTCCTCTCTCTTTGCTGCCTCCAATCCCCATCCGATTGCTTTGCACCGCACTGAACCTCCCTGAGTGGCATAACATCAGTGCCCCTGGGAGTGGCCCTTGGGTTGGGCATACCGTTGAGGGCCAGCTGGGTGAGCAGAGCACTGAACAACTTGCATTCTCATGATTCATGGGTACTCCTTTTTAGGCCCAAACGGATGAGCACTTCATCGTGCTTCACCGCACGTCACCGTAGGTCACCGCGTGTCACCGCACATCCTCCGCACCCCCCTTCTTCCCCCACACAATAAGGCTCCTTCCTTCAACCGCTTCCGTCAATCCATCACCTCATCTCTCACCTCCTCTCCATCAACCTGGCTCCTCAAAAGTGTCTCATTTCGCTTCCTCCTCTCTCCCCACCCCCACAACCCCGCCACACGGCTAGGTCCCATCTCTCTACCGCCTCCGCCCATCCATCGACCTCGCTTCACGCCTCCTCTATCCACCTGAGTCATCAGAACTTTCCCATTTTGTTTCTTTCCTCCACCCTCCCTACAATCAGGTCCCCTCACTCTACAGCCTCCGCCCATCCATCAACCTCGCTTCACGCCTCCTCTCCATCCACCTTACTCCCCAAGGCTCTCCTCCTGCCCAGTCTCCCCTCCAATTACCTCTTGACACGTGGCCTGATGCCAGGCTGGATGGCGTGCGAGTGTGCGGTGACAGGTGCGTGGGTGGGTGTGGTGTGGATGGGTGTATATGGGTGTATAGAGGTGTACGCGTGTATGGGTGTCTTGACATGCATTTATGTTCATAGGCTGCAGCAGACATGGTAGGATGGATAGGGTGCAAGTGTGTGGTGACAGGTGTGTGGCTGGGTGTGATGTGGATGGGTGTATGTGGTTGTATATGGGTGTTCACGGTGTGTATGAGAGTACTGACTTTCGGCCCTGTCTCACCTCCAATTGCCCATTGACACGTGGCCTGACGCCAGGTTGGATGGGTGCGAGTGTGCGGTGACAGGTGCATGGCTGGGTATGGTTGTGTCTGTGACTGTGGCTGCATGTGCATGTGTATGGGCTGGAGCATACTTGCCAGGCTGGATGGGGTGCGCATGTGCGGTGACAAGTGTGGGGCTGGGTGTGGTAATCTCTGTTTCCGTGGCATCACGTTGATCTTGAGACGTCTAAAGACAAATTCAACTATACGTGGTTCTGTCTTTAGAGACACATGTATCCTTGCAAGATTTTTTTGAGAATACTCAAGCATCATGGTGCCTTAGATACACGTACATGGGCATGCCCGTGTCACACATGTGTGTCTTTGCATGATGGAAAGGTCCCTCATTTTCAATTACTCTCCTCACTCACGCGCTCTCATTCCCCATCACTCGTCTCTCACTCACTCAATCGCTCTCTCACTCACTCACTCATGCACTCACTCACTTGCTCACTCGCTCACTCACTCACTCACTCACTCACTCCATCTCCTCCATCGTGTTGTCCCCTTATCATCCACACCAGCGTCCACGTGGCAGTGTACCCTGCTGACGTGGCAGCCTGGCTCTCCGCCGCTCTCGGCACGCCATGTCAGCTTGTGAGGCTCCTTCCGCACGCCCGCCAGCAGAAGAAGCTGCCTAGAAGCATCCTCAGCAGTCAGGACAACACCAGAACCAATCAGATCAGTGAAAACCAATCCAGCCGTAACGAATCTTCCCAATCCGCATCCTCCTCCCACTCCTATTCCTCCTCTCCCTCCTCTTCCCCCTCTCTCTCGCTAGCCAATGAGGCTCAGCTGCTAGTGCTCTCATCTGCTAGTCTGGCTGATCTTTGGAGGAGAGTGGCACATGGGACAGAGGGGGAGCTGATGGCAGGAGATGGAGGGAAAACAGATGGGAGAACAACAGGAGTGGATAAACCTTTGCAAAATAAGCAAGTCAAATCTGGTCCCTTGCCGTTGCTAGGGTCTCATTCTGCTGCGCTTCCTTGCTGCCCTGCCGATTGGAGCCTGAGGCTCGGTAACCCTACCGAACCTAATGGTCTGGACTCAGGCTCGGGGATGGATCAAGCTTATCCAGCACCAGCAGCAGCAGCATCTGCCACGTCAGCAGGGTCATCTCAGGCTGCTGACGTGGACAGAGATGCGGAAGCAGATGCCTCGTGGGCATTGCGGTTTCGCCCCAACATTGTGGTGGGCGGTGCTGACGTGGCGCCATACGATGAGGACAGGTGGAAGCAGCTGGTTGGTCAAGATGCTTCCTTTGAGGTGAGCAGTGCTTAACTTGATGGTGCTGATTTTCATTCATTGGTTTTTTTTTGTTTTAATTGGCATTTTGGCTGTTCATCATCAACCCCCTTGTTCCCCTCTCTATATCTTCCCCTTCTTGATTCACCCATCACACTATGTCACACAGACTCACGCTTTTCAACACAAAAATAATCACACATTCCATGTCTCCTCGGTTGTCCATTTCAACATTCCTCCCTCCCTCCTCCTCCTCGCCTCACCAAATCCTTCCCTCCAGTCCCTTGCTCCCTGCAGCGAGTTTGCCATCATCAACACAGACCCTGCCACAGCTGTAATCGATCTATCCTACTTTCCTCTTTTCTTAGTCCTCTCTCCACCCCCTCTCCCTCCCTGTACCAATTTTCCTTCAGTCCCTTGCTCCCTGTAGCAGGTGTGCCATCATCAACACAAACCCTGCCACCGGCCAATCATCAGCACCTGAGCCTCTTCGGACCCTATCTGGTTACCGCAGGCACAAGGCAAACATCAACTTCGGTGTCCTCTTTACAGTCAAACTCCACCAAGTGCTCAGCACAGAAACTAGTGTGTTGTACCCAGACTCGTTGGTGAATGGGGCAAATGTAGCGCCTGGTACTAGGACTGAAGGAGGTCCATTGGTATCTGTAGGTCAAAGTTTTGCAATCATGTATGGATGATTTGTTCAATAAAATTTACGTGCTGACTGGATCCCTCATAGATTTAAAGTTGATTGGATAAAAAACTACATGGATTTAAAGAGATTATCCTCGCTTCGGTAATGAAAACGGACATGTGAGCCATTTAGCTCAAGTTGCCCTTCTCATCAGGTTAATAATCGAGACAATGATTTCCTGCATTTCGAGACAATAGTGGTCTACTCAATGGAGGGAATAGTTTTGTGTCTCCATCCGACCAAATTTACGAACCTGCTTGGGGCAAGGAAATCTGACAGTGTGGACCGGTGTTTCATCGCGATTGGGGGGTCAGGTTGCTTTCGGGCTTGGCCGATTGGGTTGCTCCCTCCTGCCTGAACTGGAAGCTGGGAGCATTCCTGGGGGCTTGGCTCCACGTCAGCAGAAAATCCGCGCCTGCGAATGGCGTCCCTCGTGGTGGCACGCTTCGGATGCCGTCACCCATTCCCAATGACCACGTCACGTATTCAAGCTCGTCTCATGTGGGGAGTGTACGCTACAATCGAGACGGCGTCTTTTCTCAGTAGCTAGCAGCTGATTTTGCAATCCTTGCTGACGTTTAGTTCGTACCAAATATATATAATTGCAGTTTTTCTCTGAGATGACATTAAGAGTCGAACTTAAGACGTATCTATCTTGCCACGTGACGACGCGCTGTCAATGTAAACAGGTCTCTCAACCCAGATCTTTGAGTGTGCAGGGGAGTGCACTGGCCTATACCCCATCTCTTCAGAATACAGTCACTACCCTCCTAAATTCTCCCCACACTTCAATACCCCTTTAGGAGACTACAAGGCCTATTACTGGCACGTTTGTGAACAGTCGTTACCACTTTGGCTCAGAGAAAAGAACTCTTTGAAGCCCCTCCTGTTCACACGTGCCAGTCAGACGCCATGGCTCTCTCCCTGTGCGCGAAGTCGAGCCTCGTCTCGGCCGCTGGCCTGCAGCAGCGCGGCGCTGCCCTGGAGAGAAGGCAGACCGGCGCCTCGCTCTCAGCGTCGCTCGCCCACTCAGCCGCTGCTCCTTCGTTTAAGGCTTTCGATGGCATGCGCGCTAACTCAACCTTCTCCTCCGCCTCTTCATTCCTGTCCGGCGCTAAAGTTGCTGCGCCTGTGGCCGCGGAGGCTCCGGCTGCTGCCGCTGCTGAGAAGGGTTTCACCCTGACCATTGTGGCGGGCAGGAACAGCAAGAAGATTCAAGGAAGGAAGCTCCGCGTCGCCGGTGAGTAACGGCCGCTATCATATTTTCCGGAGCGAACAACATTAGTCGATGACTTCAGATTCGTGACTGTCCCAGATCGTGTCCTAAATTGCACATTACCTTGAATTCCACCATATACTCCACCAGGATTGCCCTCTGGCAACTAAAACTACCACGGCATTCTTCCTTCCCTCTTCCTGAATGCAATTAGTTTTCCTGTTTTACCAACTTCCAACCTTAACAAAGATTTCCGGATTTCTTTTACACAGTTATCGGAGGCGGCCCGGCCGGCGGTTGCGCGGCGGAGACTCTGGCGGAGAACGGCATCGAGACTTTCCTCATTGAGCGCAAGCTCGACAACGCCAAGCCGTGCGGTGGAGCCATCCCCCTTTGCATGGTCGACGAATTTCAGGTAACTTCCTTTCGCTAACTTCGCGAATCACTGTGCGACGGAGACGCTGGCGGAGAACGGCATCGAGACGTTCCTCATTGAGCGCAAGCTCGACAACGCCAAGCCCTGCGGTGGTGCCATCCCCCCTCTGCATGGTCGACGAGTTCCAGGTAGCCCCATTTTCGCTTGCTTTTGTGCGAAGTTTTTATGAGATTTGGGTGTCTGATCTCCTGTTTCTGTTTCTCTAGAGTCTTCGAATTACGATTTTCGTGATGTAATTGGATCCGCTTCGTCAATGCTCCTAGCTGGTTTTGCAACGACGGAGCAAGTAATTCCGAGGCGCCTCACAAATAGTGAATGCGTTTACTTTAATGCGGCCGTTCAGCTCCGTCTGCTAGGCACATTCTGAGATCAAAATATTATTCCATCCCCTTGCAACGTGGACGCCAACGTAGGCTCTACCCTCGGCGTTAAGGAGTACACATTCTGAATCCCTCGCGTCATGAATTCCACTCCTCGCTCTCTCTTCCACTTTCTCCTCCGTTTTAATCCGATCTTTCCTGCCTGCAGCTGCCGCAGGAGAGCATTGAGAGGAGCGTGACCAACATAATATCGCCCTCCAATGTCGAGGTGGTTCCTCACATCTCTCCCTCCTTTTCCCATCTCCCTTCTTTTCTTCCTCCCTTGCAGCTGCCACAGGAGATCATCGACAGGCGCGTGACCAAGATGAAGATGATTTCCCCATCCAACGTCGAGGTCGACGTGGGGCGCACGCTCGGCAAGGAGGAGTACATCGGCATGGTGCGCCGCGAGGTGCTCGACGCCTTCCTGCGCAACCGCGCCCAGTCTTACGGCGCGACGGTCATCAACGGGCTGTACCTGAGGATGGACGTGCCCAAGGACGACGACAGCCCCTACGTCATCCACTACTCCGACTACGCCGGCGACTCCAAGGTTCGTGCCTTGAGTCGGAGTGAGCGTTGCACTTTGCGAGGGCATTCCATTGTGAGCGCGACGGTTACCAACGGGCTGTATTGCCCAAGGATGACGACAGCCCCTACATCATCCACTACTCCGACTACGCCGGCGACTCCAAGGTTTGTACGAGCCGAGCCGGTCACAAGGCGCTTCCGGATGTTCCCACGGTTCGATGGTAACCGGTCGTGTGGCTGGCTCGTGCGCGTCGTGCCGCTTGGCCGCGTGGCTTCGTAAGCCGGGCAAGGACTGGCGTTCTTTGCTTTAGCGACTAGGAAACCTTGGATTGTCTGCCGGCTTTCGAATCCAGTCCGGCTGTCTGGCTATCTGTCTTCTCTTGCGGATCTGTCACAAAGATATTTTGATCGTTGTTTGCTGACGTGTCTTATCACATCTGTGTGATTGCTGTCCTGCCTTGCGATTGGTCAATGCAGGTCGGCGTGCCCAAGACTCTCGAGGTCGACGCCGTGATCGGCGCTGACGGCGCCAACAGCAGGGTGGCCAAGGACATCGACGCGGGTGACTACGACTACGCCATTGCCTTCCAGGTGAGGACACACGCTTCAATCTTGGTGTATCTATTAGTGTACTACTGAGGTTCATCCGAGGTGTCTCGAAAGCCAACGGCAGAGTGGCCAAGGACATCGACGCGGGCGACCACGACTACGCCATTGCCTTCCAGGTAAGGTCACATGCTTCAGCGTTCCGCGACTCTATGTGTTACGAGGATCTCGCGGAGATGTACGCTTTTGAGTAAACTCAAAAGCAGTATGTAGTACGAGGATCTCGCGGAGATGTACGCTTTTGAGTAAACTCAAAAGCAGTATGTAGTTCGAGGATCTCACGGTGATGTATGTGGGCGATGACTCCTGATGACTCACTCTACCCTACCTTACTCACTCTACCGTATCCTAGTGTACCCTACTCTACCGCACCTCACAGGAGCGTATCCGTCTGCTCTGCCGGAGGACAAGATGGCGTACTACGAGGATCTCGCTGAGATGTACGTGGGCGATGACGTGTCGCCCATTGACTCACTCTACCCTACCGTACCCCACTCTACCCTACTCTATCGCGCCCCACAGGAGCGCATCCGCCTGCCAGAGGACAAGATGGCGTACTACGAGGATCTTGCGGAGATGTACGTGGGTGATGACGTGTCGCCCGACTTCTACGGCTGGGTGTTCCCCAAGTGCGACCACGTGGCGGTCGGCACCGGTACGGTCATCAACAAGCCCGCCATCAAGCAATACCAGACCGCCACCAGGTGAGCACGCGCGTGCTATCAATAATTCAACGGGTTACAGTTGGCTTATTATCACCAGTGAGCCCGACTCGACTTCTACGGCTGGGTGTTCCCCAAGTGCGACCACGTGGCGGTCGGCACTGGCACGGTTATCAACAAGCCCGCCATGAAGCAATACCAGACCGCCACCAGGTGTGTTGGGACCTTATAATGCCCGGGCCTCTTTCCCCACACTCCATGCTGCCTTTCCGACACGGATTGTGCCAAGGACTAATTGAGGGAGGCAAGATCTGGTCACCCCATCCCCGAGCACCCCCACCCCTATCGGTCAATCTTTCAGGCGTTCACACTCTCTCAACAACACGCATTTTATCTGAGCATCTCTCTCCACACTTCCTGCCGCCTTTCTCTCCCCCTCAAGAACCGGGCCAAGGACAAAATCGAGAGCGACAAGATCATCCGCGGGGAGGCGCACCCCATCCCCGAGCATCCCTGCCCTTCCTAGTCAGTCGTTGAGGCATCTCACTTCCTGTTCTTCCCACCCTGCTTACCGTCGTTTGTCCCTCAGGAACCGCGCCAAGGACAAAATCGAGGGCGGCAAGATCATCCGTGTGGAGGCTCACCCCATCCCCGAGCACCCCCGCCCCCGCCGGACCTCCAACCGCGTGGCTCTCGTTGGCGACGCTGCTGGCTACGTCACCAAGTGCTCAGGCGAGGTGTGTTGCTGCTGAGTGATGGGGTTGAGCAATGCGTGTGTATGTAATGCCACAATCCCTGGTGCCTTATGACGTTCAACCGCGTGGCTCTGGTTGGCAACGCTGCTGGCTACGTCACCAAGTGCTCAGGCGAGGTGCGTTGCTGCTGAGTGATGGGGTCTGTGCTGTTCCGCAGTTTGGTGTTGCACGATTTGAGATTGGGAAAGGGCATGCGCATGGCATGGTGCACGAGACCCCCAGTCTCAAAACGTGACACATGGCACCCATGGGGGTCTGTGTTGCACGCATGGCATGGTGCACGAGACCCCCAGTCCCCTTCGGCTGTATCCATTTCACACTCCAGCTTACCCATTTCTCCACTTTCCATCCCCCATTCCCCCACTGTCCATGCGCCAAGCTGGAGCGTATGGCAGCAGAGGCGATCTTGGAGGGGTTTGAGAAGGGCACTGGCATGGTGGACAAAACGTCAAGGCCGCTTGCTGCCCTGCCCCCAAGCCCGCCCTTGTCACCCGTGCCGTACGTTGTGCTCACCCTTAGCACTGCTCTCCACCTCCCATCACACCACTCTCCACCCCCCAGGGCATCTACTTTGCGGCCAAGTCGGGGCGCATGGCAGCAGAGGCGATCGCTGAGGGGTCTGAGAAGGGCACGCGCATGATCGACGAGTCTGACCTGCGTGTGTACCTGGACAAGTGGGACAAGAAGTACTGGGCCACCTACAAGGTGAGGATCTCTTTTGATTGGATTAGGTTGGGATTGCCCTTCATTCAAATTCCTTTCATTGTAGGAGCAGCTTGGTAGGTTGAGTGGATATGTCTGGATGAGATGCACGTGTATGGTGGATGAGTCTGACCTGCGTGTGTACCTGGACAAGTGGGACAAGAAGTACCGGGCCACCTACAAGGTGAGGTCCTTCGTTGACACTTCTTTCATTGTAGGAGCAGTTTGGTAGGTTGTGAGTGCCATCTTTCTGGACAAGAGGCACTTGCATGGTGATCGAGAGAGACCTACGTGTGTACCTGGACAAGTGGGACAAGAAGTACTGGGCCACCTACAAGGTGAGAAGAGTTGAATGGATTCGGCTGAGAGTTGAAACGTACTTCATTGCATGGTGAATGAATCTGGCCTGCATTTGTCTGGGCATGTGAGACAATAGGTACTGGGCCACCTACAAGGTCAACTTTTCCTTTTTCTATAAGTTGAAAGAGGCTCAGTTAAGGTAGTAGAAAAGGCTTCGTTTGGTTTTCCGCTGTTCCATTCTAATGTGTTCGTGTACTTTTTCCAACCTTTTTCCTTGTTTCTCAGGTGCTGGACATTCTCCAGAAGGTGTTTTACCGCTCCAACCCCGCGCGCGAGGCGTTCGTGGAGATGTGCGCGGACGACTACGTGCAGAAGATGACGTTCGACAGCTACCTGTACAAGACGGTCGTGCCGGGCAACCCCCTCGATGACCTCAAGCTGGCCGTCAACACCATCGGCAGCCTGATCCGCGCCAATGCTCTCCGCAAGGTTGCCCTCGAGAAGGCCTAAATGTCACTGGAATTGGAATAGTTTAGATGTGTATACAGGCTACACTACATTGTTGCATTTACATCAACTCTGCAAATCACAAAGCCTTGGAAACAAATATACCGCGTGAGCACATAACGCGATCAGGACTACGTGTAAAAGCTGATGTTCGACAGCTACCGTACCTCTACGAGACGGTCGTGCCGGGCAACCCCCTTGGAGACCTCAAGCTTGCTGTCAACACCACCGGCAGCCTCATTCGCGCTAACGCTCTGTGCAAGTTTGCCCTCGAGAAGGCCTAGAGTGCTATGGTTCTGAATATTCTAGATGTGTATACTGGTTATGTCAAACTTATATTGTTATCTGTTGTTAGAGCGTATTCCTATCCTCCGTATCAAGAGTACCTCATATCAAGATAGTACTTTTTGCCTGGTAAAACAAGCGAGAGGTTTTGGGCTTAGGGGAATTTTCAGTGGGAGGTTGATATGAGATTCTCTTGATACGAGGTTAGGAATACGATCTTAGGCTATAGTGGGGCTAGCCTTATGGGGTACACAACTTAAGGGTTTCTGTTACGAGTGCAATTGAGTGAACGAACGAGAATTGCACTATCGAAGCAAGAGTACAATGTCTGAAGGCATGAGCAAAGAATATATAGCGAAACTATAGTGGTAACGGTAATGTGTGGAAAATGGGGTGCGCGACGGGCCTAGCGGCGAGGTTGGGAAGTGTCGAGGCGGAGGTCCGGAGTGCGGGTTACCAACCGAACCGTGAGGTTGGGTCGCGTCGTGAATAGTGGCGGAAACAGTGTCAAGACGAGTTGTCACAATGTGATGCTTGTCTAGCCTGCAGTGGGGTAGTCTATGGCGAGTACAACCCAATTAGGGTTTCCCATATGTATCTCATCTGCTGCTAGTGAAAACCCCGTTTCCTGTTTCTGATTCTTGCCTAGTATTTCAACATGCTATCAGAGCAGGTCGACCCTCCTGGGTCGATCCTGTAGGTGGGCCCCACCCGATGCTTCCGCTGCTCTACTGCCTGTAGCGCGCCCCGTGCGCGCGCTGTTTTCTTCCTGCCGTGCGCTCGGAGCGCGCAGCGTGAGCGCGCGGCGGTTTTCTGCCCTGCCCGCCGAGCGCCCCGGGAGCGCGTGGCGGTTTCCTGCCCCGGTGACCCGCGCGTCGCCCTCCGTCGCCCGACGCGGCCCGCGCGACCTGCGCCAGGCCTGCGCGCGGCCCGTACGGGCTATGCCAAGCCTGCGCGCGGCCCGGGCAGCCCGCGCGCGGTTCGTTCCTCCTGCGCTAGGCCCGTGCGCGGCCCGTACAGTCTGCCCCAGTGCCGCACGCTATCCCCCGAGCTTCTGACCGCGCCCCACCCCCGCTGCTACCCGTGCTCCTGTGTTAGGGTTTGGGGTTGGAGAGTATGGGGGTGCCGGGTGTGTGAGCCGTCCCCTGCTCCTCCTCCTCCTCCGTCTCCCACTGCTGCAGCTGCCGCTGAGGGGGGTGGATGTGTTGGAGCCGTCGGAGTGGTACGAGGGGGGTGGCGTGTGAGCAATGCTAGAGGTTCAGCAGGGAGTGTGTGAAAGGGGTGTGGGACAGTTGGGGGAGGTTGACCGGAGGTAGCCGACTTGTCGTCCGCAGCGCCTGAAGTCCAGAGAGCCACGACCCTCTGTGGCCGTGTAGTCCAGGGCTCTGCGCCTGGTAGCCACAGTGTGAGCATTCCTAGTAGTCCAGAGAGCCACGACCCCCTGTGGCCGTGTAGTCCGGGGCTCTGCGCCCGGTAGCCACAGTGTGAGCACTCGTGGGAGCACAGAGAGCTAGCTGCGCCTGTCGCCGTGTAGTCCGGGGCTCTGTGTCTGGTAGCATCAGTGCTGCGCACTCCTGGTGCACGTGTGTCTGCAGCTTCAGCCGTCGCCTCCCATCTTCTCGCCCCCCACAGTTTCTCCTCCTCCTCACTTGCCCTCTGTGATAGCCTCTAGCTTTGCTTATCCTTGTGAACTATTCCTCTGCCTGCTTGTTGTGCTGATTATACCCCACTTTGACTATGGGGGTGTGTCAGAATGTGATGTTTGTCTAGCCTGCAGTGGGATACTCTATAGCGAGTACAACCCAATTAGGGTTTCCCAAATTTATCTCAACTGCTGCTAGTGAAAACCCCCTTTCCTGTTTCTGATTCTTGCCTAGTATATCAACACGAGTGTCGCGAGTGGTAACGGATTAATGTTCGGTGCTGTTGGCGGGAACAGTGGTGTACGCGCTGAACAGGGTCGCGAAGTAAGGAAAAAAAAAATTCCTTACAGTTTCCTACTTGTACCACCATTCTCATGGTTCAATCATTCCTCTTTCCATATGTTGATATGGTATTAGAGTAGGTACGTTCCTTAGGGCCCACCGAACGTTTCGCCCTGCCCGGACATGAAACCTTTTTTTTTCCCGCCCTGCTGCCTAGCGCCAGCACGCGCCTTCGTGCCCTGCCTGCGCGCGCTCTGCTTGCCCGCGCGCTCTGCACGCGCACCCTGCTGCCCACAGCGCCAGCGCGCCCTGCTGCCCAGCACGCTAGCGCGCCCCGCTGCCCGACGCGCCAACGCGCCCCGCTGCCCGACGCGCCAGCGCGCCCTGCTGCCCAGCGCCCCAGTGGGCCCCGCTGCCAAACGCGCCAGCGCGCCCCGCTGCCCAGCGCGCCCCACTGCCCAACGCGCCATAGCGCCCCACTGCTCGACGCGCAAGCGCGCCCCGCTGCCAAGCGCCCCCCGCTGCCCAGCGCGCCAGTGTCAAATTCCATTTGTATGCTTCTAGTTTGTAGTGGGGCATACTCTAGTGAGAACAACCCTTTAGGGTTTCATACTTGTACTCATCCTGCTGCTCAATGCAATCATTCTTGCCTGCTTATTTTTACATGGTATTACAGCAGAATCGTTCCTAGGGCCCACCGAACGTTCCGCCCTGCCCTAACCGTAAAATTTTCTTCCTACGCTGCCCCTGCAGCCGTGCTGCCCTTGTAGTCTGTGTGCTGCCCCTGCAATCGTGCTGCCCCTGCAGCCGTACTCACCCCTTCGACCGTGCTGCCCCTGCAACCGTGCTCACCCCTGTGACTGTGCTGCCCCTGCAGCCGTGCTCGCCCCTGCGACCGTGCTGCCCCTGCAGCCGTGCTCGCCCCTGCGACCGTGCTGCCCCTGCAGCCGTGCTCGCCCCTGCGACCGTGCTGCCCCTGCAACCGTGCTCACCTCTGCGGCTGTGCTGCCCCTGCAGCCGTGCTCGCCCTTGCGACCGTGCTGCCCCTGCAGCCGTGCTCGCCCCTGCGACCGTGCTGCCCCTATAGCCGTGCTCGCCCCTGCGACCATGCTGCCCCTGCAGCTGTGCTCACCCCTGCAACCGTACTGCCCCTGCAGTCGTGCTCGCCCCTGCGACCGTGCTGCCCCTGCAGCCGTGCTCGGCCCTGCGACCGTGCTGCCCCTGCAGCCATGCCTGCCCCTGTGACCCACGCGCTGCCCCTGCAGCGCGTGCGTCGCCCCTGCAGCCAGCGCGCCGCCCTGCCGAGCCGCGCGTCGCCTCTGCAGCCCGTGCGCACGGCCCTTGCAGCCCGCGCGCTGCTCCTGCAGCCCGTTCGTGCTGCCCCTGCAGCCTGCGCGCTGCCTCTGCAGCCCGCGGGACATCCTGCCGAGCTGCGCGTCGCCCCTGCAGCCCATGCGAGCTGCCCCTGCAGCCCGCGCGTCCACTCTGCAGCCCGCGCACCGCCTCTGCAGCCCGTGCGTGCTGCCCCTGCAGCCCGCGCCCCGCCCTGCCGAGCCACGCCGCCCAAGCCCAGACGAGCCGCCCTACCCAACCTGAGCCGCCCTGCTACTACTACTGCTACTGCTCGTTCTACTGCTGCTACTAGAGGAGTTAGTGGAGGTGCGGCCGCCCAGCCCCACCGAACCGCCCTGCTGCTGCTACTACTGCTGCTGCTGCTGCTGCTACTTGTGCTACTGCAGGTGGAGGTGCTGCTGGGAGTGCTGGAGGTGCTGCTGGTGCTGTAGGAGCTGGAGGTGCTGGACCTACTCCTGACCGTCACTGTCTGTCATGGCCACTATCGCGGCAGTTGCTGCGGCCAGGGGTGGACAGCAGCGGGCACTGCCTCTCCTGGACGACCCCACCCCTCAGAAACTTCGTGAGTGGGTTTTCAGCGAGGCAGTCCTGGTGGTGGAGGTTTTGGTTTTATATGGCCTAAGCGACCTCGCGACTGTGCTTCTCAGCGATGCGTCCCTGGCTGTGTAGAGGTTACTGCTCTCGGTTCTAGTGAGTCTGCTGCCGCTCTAGGTGCTAGTGAGTCTGCTGCCGCTCCAGGTGCTAGTGAGTCTGCTACAGCTCTAGGTGCCCGTGAGTCTGCCGACGCTCTAGGTGCTAGTGCGTCTCCTACCACAGGTCATGCCTGAGCTGAGGTCTTGCACCCTTTCACGCTTGACTCAGGCGCGTCACGTTGCTTCTTTCGTGATTGCACCACAGTCACACAACTCACAACACCTGTCCCAGTCTCACTAGCTGACCCCTCTGGGGGCCCAATGGTTGCGAGAGCCTCCACGGTCCTCCCTTGTCCAGCAGTCCCCTCCGGTTCTTTGTCAGGTCTCCACCTCCCCACGTTCTCGACGAACTTGGTGAGCAACGCTACCATTCAGGATGTCTGGGTTGATACCTTTATTTCTGGAGGGCAGTGTGTGGCGATCTGTACGTGCTCCTGGACTGGCCGTCACCTGGCTACGTTCACTCGACAGCCTGGGTATAGTCCGTACACACTGACCACTACGTCTGCACAGGTGGCTGCGTCGAGTTGGGCGTCTGCGTCGGGGAAGTTAGCTGCGTCTTTCGCGTGTAGAGTACTCATGCACGAGACTCAGCGCTGGCACCACCGTCTTCGTCACCCCTCCCTGCCGCGTCTACGTAGCATGCACTCCCGTCTCCTTGTCTGTGGCCTCCCCAGGACCCTGCCCCCCCTGCCGCGCTCGCTTGCCCCGCCATGCCTTCCTGGAGTCGGCGGGCGGCAGTGCGCCG